CTGCTGCAGTAGCCGGAGCGAAGTTGTGCGAGTGTTGTGCGTGTCTCCCGAGGCAGATGAAGCTCCGTCTCGTCTATGTCCGGGGGTGGTATGCCTAGAACGGCATTCACAGGTCTAGAGTCTACATAACTCGAGACTGAGTCCCTGTGAATGCCGTTCAGGGCCTGTCTGTAAGCTGTCGGGTCCAGAGGTTGCTTAATGAACCTCTGGACTTCGTCCGTCAGTTCATATAGATGCCTCCTGACGTGCCTAGGCGAGGGCTCCTCTGCAAGCAGCTGTCTGCTTGGGTGGCCACTTCTGTGGCTCCCGATCAGGAACTGCTTGCAGAGCATTATATTGTGCTCCTTTACAGGGAGCATTTGCGCCTCGCCGTGCAGGTGGTGTTCAGGCGACATCAAGAGGCATCCTGTCGCTGTCCTGAGTGCAGTGTTCTGTACAGTCTGTAGCTTCGTCCACTGCGTCCTACTAGTCCCTGGCGACCATACTGGCGCTGCGTAATTCAAAACCGGCCGGCCTATTGCCTTGTATGTTGCCAGCAACATTTCTTTGTCTTTGCCCCAAGTACTGCCGGCTAGCGACTTGAGGACCTTGTTGCGGCTCTGTACTTTATTGACAATAGCGGTTGAGTGCGCAGAAAAGGAGAGCAGGCTGTCGAAAGTTACTCCGAGTATTTTGGGGTTATTCACCGTCGGAATTGGTGTGTCATCGACGTGAATCCCCAGCGGTAGCCTGACCTCCTTCGTCCAGGTTGTGAACAGGGTCGCGGAGGATTTCGTAGGGGAGAGGGCTAGACACTTTGCAGTGAAGAAGCGAGAAAGTTCGGGGAGATACCCTTTTACTTTCGAATACAGGTCATCAATTCCATTCCCAGTCGCCATGATCGAGCAATCGTCGGCATAAGAGACAATCGAGACTCCCTCTGGTGGTTGAGGGAGCTTTGAAATGTAAAAGTTAAACAGTAGCGGGGAAAGGACACCACCCTGAGGAACCCCCTGTTTTATTTTTCGCTGCTTACTCGTTTTGTCTCTAAACATTACCGACGAATGTCGACCACTCAGATAATTTGCCGACCACCGTTTGAGCCTCTGTGGGAGAGAGGAGGCCTCTATATCTTCTAGTAGCGTGGAATGGTAGACGGTGTCAAACGCCTTTGACAAGTCCAACGCTACTAGAATCGTTCTCTCACAGGGACGGTTAAGGTTAAGGCCACGAGTTATCTGAGTGTTTATGGCGTTAAGTGCTGTTGTTGTACTGTGCACTTTACGGAAACCATGTTGACGCTTCGGTGGGGTCAGGTGGTTTGTGAAGTACGGGATCCATGGCTTTGGAGGCTTTCGCCTTCCCTATGGCCACCTGAACTTCACCGCAAGTGAAAGCAAGGGGGGCACAAGTTGTTGGCAGTTTGTGCAGCCGTCTGGTCACTCGACGCTTGGCTTTCTCCACCGGAGAATGCAGTATGAACTGCCGGCTGAAATAGCTCGCGCATCGCTCCGGGTCCGACGAGGCATGGTCGCCGAAGGAAATTTCGACTCTGTCGTCGTGCTTCGTCGGATTAGGCAATGACCTCACGGTTGACCAAAGCTTGCTCACACCAGAGGTGAAATTACAGGTCTTCAGATGCTCCTCCCACTTCTTCCGCTTATGTACGTTTACTAGTTGCCGAATCTCCGCGTTGAGATCCCTGATACGGGGATCTCCGGGATCGGCCTGACGAAGGCTATCACGGTCATCGGCTAGGACAGCCGCTTCGGCAGGGAAGTTTGGACGTGGGTCCGATATACATCCTGCCGGTATGAAGCGAGCTGCAGCAGCAGTGACAGCCCTGCGGAACTTACGTTCACCGAGATGGACGTCGGTTGGTGGGGGGAGCGCTGTGAAGGTGTTTTCGGTAAACTCCGCGTAACCTTTCCAATCAGCTTTGGAAAAGTTGATATAGGTCCGGTGTTTGGCGGAGGCAAAGTCGGTTGGTTTATCAATCGAGATGACTATGGGTAGGTGGTCTGATGCTAGAGTCAGCATAGGTCGCCATGTTATGCTGTTTATCAGACCAGCGCTGACTATTGTGATGTCTGGCGAGCTACTGCAGTTACCCATAATCCTGGTGGGTGCGTCGTTTTTCATTTTGCAGAATGTCGAATCGTCTATCTGCTCATTTTGCAGAATGTCGAATCGTCTATCTGCTCAGCCAAGTCTGTTCCCCTACAATCGTTTGACAGGCTTGAGTGCCAAAGATCGTGGTGCGCATTAAAGTCACCTACTACCATACGGTTTTCACCTCTGAGGAGCGCACCTATATCAGGGTGTTATCCTGCCGTGCAGCAGGTGACAGGGGGTATGTATATGTTAAATATTTCGAGCTCGACATCGCCTGACCGGATAGCGATGCCCTGACATTCTAGGGTGGTATCCCTGCGGTCGATGTCTGCTTCGATAAGACGATACTGCACGGTGTGGTGCGTGATGAACGCTAAGCCACCACCATTATCTCGCTCGCGATCTCGACGGTGCACGTTGTACCCGGCGCAATTCAACAAAGTTGAATTGCTGTGCAACTTCGTCTCTTGGACCGCAGCTATCAATATACCATGCCGACACATGAAGACGGTTATCTCCTCAATCTTGC